AATGGAATACTCTCCCCAGGGCAATCAGAAAGAAAGTATTTAACTCTACTACCAACACCCAAAACCGGCGTTCTAATTTAAACTACTTTCTGTATTTTATGTTGTACAAGCCTCACAGCACAACTTTAGTATTAACCTACCTTTAATGCCTCTATGTAATTCGTGCATTACTGCTAGCCAACATGTATAATACATAGTATTATATATGCTTGACTGTACATAACACATATTATTACATACTTACCCAACTTTCTCGAAAGACATGCTTACAAGCAGGGACTCTACTAAACACTTCAACAGTAACACATAACACACATCTCCAAAGCCCATACACCACCCCTACGCATACCAACAGAACTAGTCATATCTTGATCGTACATAGTACATTAAGTCATTTATCGGACATAGCACATATCTATTAAAAAGTCCTCTCCACCACGGATGCCCCCCCTCACTTAGGAGTCCCTTGTTGACCATCCTCCGTGAAACCAATATCCCGCCCAAATAATGCCACTCTCCTCGCTCCGGGCCCATAACTCGTGGGGGTAGCTATAACTGAACTGTATCCGGCATCTGGTTCTTACCTCAGGGCCATAACAATCAAGATCGCCCACACGTTCCCCTCAAATAAGACATCTCGATGGATCACGGGTCCATCACCCTATTAACCAGTCACGGGAGCTCTCCATGCATTTGGTATCTTTTCTCTCTGGTCCGCACGCAACCCCATCGCAGAATGCTGACTCCCACCACATCCCGTCCTGCCGCGCCTGCCTTTGATTCCTGGTCCATGCCATTATTAATCGCACCTACGTTCAATATCCTAGCCCCGCATAACCATCAGCAAGGTGTTATTTAATTCATGCTTGTAGGACATACCAACAATCAACTCCACAACTCCACAACACCAAACCACCAAACCACAATAAAATCCTATCAAACCCCCCCACCCCCATCTCTGACCTGTAAGTATGCCACCAGTGTGCTCACTCTGGTCATTAATAAAATTGCCATGCCAAGGCAACGGCTGACTCTGCCTGCAGCCCTGTCTCTGGATTCGCCCTGATTCTATAACCAATGCAACGCTGTCTGATCATCTTAGTGCTAACCTTCTATTGCCCATCTTGTCCCTGAGGGTATCTTTCACGTGCCAGGCACTGTGTTAGGCATGGAGGACATGAATACATTAAAATATGGTCTTTACCCTCAACAGGGTCCCAATATAACAGATAAATGGTGAAACAGAGGGATAATCACTAGGAAACAGGTATACACAGAAGGGCCAGATTTAGTTCTGCCGTCTCTGATTGAATTTCTCTAAATACTCTAAAATGGAGTCAAACCAGAGAATCACTTTTTTTTTTTTTCTCGGACAGAGTCTTGCTCTGTCACCCAGGCTGGAGTACAGTAGTGCAGTCTCAGCTCACTGCAACCTCCATCTCCTGGGTTCAAGAGATTCTCCCACCACAGCCTCTCGAGTAGCTAGGACTACAGGCGAGCACCACCACACATGGCTAATTTTTTTGTATTTTTAGTAGAGACGGGGTTTCACCATATTGGCCAGGCTGGTCTCGAACTTATGACCTCAAGTGTTCGGCCTGCCGCAGCCTCCCAAAGTGCTTGGATTACAGGCGTGAGCCACTGTGCCCAGCCAAGAAACACATTTTGAACATATTTATAAGGGGTCATTACTTATGAAAAACCTCATCTTTCTTGCCTTCATGGTCTCTGATGGCTATTGACTTAAACCTCCCATTTTTTCAAGCAGTATTTGTTGTTTTTGCTAATTTGCTGATATTTCATTTGCAAGCAAAATTACTTTTCAAACGTCATTCACATTCTAGTCTCTGCTTCTCAGGAGTCTTTAAACTGCATTGGGGGTCTTTGATCTTATTATTTGACCATGAGTATAGCAACCATAACATTATAGTCAACTTTAAAAAGTGTTTCCAGAATCAATTCGGATGTCCATGGACACCCATTCCTGAGTGTCTCCCAGCTGGCAGGGAGGGCTGCAATCTCAGTAGCACACCAACCTCTGCTGTGCACATCTCCTCAGACCCGAGGACTCTGTTTTCTTTTCAATGTTGTTAACAAAGTCTCTTTGATTTTTGTTGGTCACAAAGGTTATATTTGCCTTCCCAGGGACCTCATTTTTGTCTAGTGGTGCCACAGTAAATAAGAATAGGCATCAAAAAGGGGAAATGGTTCAACCCAGAAGTGTGCATTTGACCTAAATAAAAATGTTCTAGGATCCTATTTTACACCTCCTTTACCATTTTTGATTGCTTGGTATTTCAAATTAGCAACCAAAACTTCCCCTCCTGTTACTTCCGATAACCAAGAAATTGATTACATACAGTTGCTTAATGTGGTCAGCCTCTTCATAAACAGGTAGGTTGCTGAAAGGTTATCTCGTCAGCATCTGATAATCTCTGGATCCTGAGCTGTTGAAGAAGGCACAGAAATGCACTAAAGTGGGTGCTGGGAAGAAGGCCAGATCTTGTTCTGCCATTAAATTTCCAAACTTGTCACCCTCTAAAGTCCCTATTGTTTTGTCACCCAAGACCACATAATTTGAAAGCCTATCAATCTCTATTTACAAAGGGAAGTTGTGCTTCCTCGTTCTTAATTAAGTAGAGACATATTGTCATTCAGAGGTTTTGAGCTACATTGACAGAGGTAATGTTATCTAACCTAAACATAGTTCCATAAGAAACATAAAACATAGGTAGACAGTAGAGCCTTATTAATGAATCCTACTCAAAATGTTAATAGATCTGTGTTGGTACCTTTAGGGAATCCTGGTTGTGAACCACTACATGAAATGTTCAGGTTCACAATCTTGCAAAACCTTTTTGAGTTGCAGGAATATCTGTTGCCTCACAAGTGAAATAAGTCCATTTTCTTGAGCGCTGAGGTGTTCCCCAACCTGGCTTTTCTGCCTAGAAAATGCCATTTTCGTAAAGAGCTGTCATGCTTCATGTCCTTTGGCTTATGATTTAGCTGTTCAGAGAAAGTGCAGGCTGCTCTCACTCGCTCAGTGCTGGTGATATGTGTTTTTGTTTTATTAAATCTTTAAAATACTGGGCTTGTTTTTTATGACCTCCATATATTCTTTTGTTCTTCTCTGTGACTTGTTAGATCACAGTTTTTTTCTTCCTTTGTGAAAATATTAGTGCCTTTCTAAAGAACATCATGGTCTCCAGAATGGCTGTATAATAAAATGGAAGAATGTGTTGAGCCTAATGTTAGATCTGTCAAGGCCGTGACTCAGGGGTGCTTCAGTGATGGGAAAGTTTGAGGCTTCTCAGACATGGTCCACGGAATCACAAATCTTTCTGTTCTTGCCAGACTTGTTTTGACAAATCTGAGATCATTTGACACTAATCATAGAGCTCTTTGTAAAATAAAGGTACCAATGGTTTATGTTCCAATTACAGACAAGTGTTTGTGATTAAAAGTTACAAAGAAACCCTCGGTTAAATGGAAGCAAGTTCTTCTGCAGGTGTGAGCTTCGTCTTGTATGCATTTGAGCCTGGGGACCCACACACCTGTGCACAGGTAGCCTAATTCTGACCTCAAAGGAATCTTTTCTTTGGGGAAGCTGAGGAAGGAAAGAACATCTGCAGCTGATAAATCTCAGTGGGCCTGGTGCTCCAAGGCTTCTAATTATACCCAGTTCCTACTTCTTCTAGAACAAGATCAAGTGATGAGTTGCCATCTCATGGTTCTGTACCTGCACAGAGGGGACTCCCAAAGTTTTAAATAATCTTGAATACAACTTGGCTACCCCACTAATGTGAATCCCCAAATAAACCAGGCCGTGACATCCAACTGAACTTGTTCCTGTGCATACAGTATCTCGCAGCCCATCCTGTATTGTTAGTTTTGGCAAGTACACGACAGCATATAATAAATCATGGAAGGAAAAAGCTTTTTGGCCTAGCATGGTTCAGCCTGCTGTAATGTTAGAATACAGAAAGCAGTTCTGTTTTTAGACATCCTTTTACTAACCCAACATTCATAATTTATTATTACACTGTAAAATTCCTGCAACACTACACCAAAAGTAGTGCTGCCCTTTAATTAAGTGCCCTCGGTAGGAAAAACGTGAAACTGATGTGCAAAACACCTCTGTGTGCAGTGATTGATAGTGATTACATCTTTATGAACCCAGCCTAAAGGTCTCAACTTCCTGATGGGTGAAGTAGTCTATAGGAACACTTCCTGAGTCTGCCTGGCGGGGATCAGTCACTGCTAACAAAACTGCAGATAATTCAGAGGCACAGCTTAGAAATGCTGAGGTTTTATTAAGCCTGTGGCTGTCTATACTTTGTCACAAGCCTACATGACCTTATTCCTCATTTCCATAAGCACCAATGACCAAACTTTATGCCAGGGCCACACTTAGAGAAGTTGTAACGCAGACGGTAAAGGGACCCAGTGTGTCACATGGATGACAGGAAGTACTTCCAGCCCAGTGGGTGCATGAGTAGAACATTCTAGCCAGAAGAGGACCATACATTGTTGCATTTTTTAAAATTCTGTTTTCAAACAGTCTTTTATTTTTCTTAGTTGCAATTAGGCAAGTTTAATTTTTTTTTTAAATAGTACCATTAAATGTTAGACTTAAATCCCAAGACAGGCATTCCCCAGCTCATCCCTGTTTGCACTGTGAATTTGTGCATCAGCTAGGTGGTCACATCAGCCCAAGCTCATAAACACCTTACTGAAAGGTAAGATTCAGAGTTTCTATATCCGAAATACTTCAGGTTTCTGAAAAGAAAGGTAACACATCCATCCAAGCAGGCAGTATGTGTGTTATGTGAACTCTTTGGTATAAGTTTGGCTATTTTCAGTCATAATGGTAGCAACCAAAACGAAAATTTTGTGCAGTCCTGTCATTTAGTCATCTTATCAGTGCCCCAAGGTGACTTTTTTCAAGAGCTCTGTTGATACCATGTGTGTGTATGTGTTATTTTCTGGTGTTTTTACAGATTTGGGCCAGGCTTAGTCATCTATTGGTATGGATTTATCCAGGAGCTGGACTGCAACCGGGAAAGGGGCATCCTGCTCAAAGCCTGTTTCCCTACGAACATTGTCACCTTATGCCACAGCATAGCTTGACCCTGAAGATCCTGGAGGAGAAGCTGGGAGGAAAAGGTGAATCCGGAAGCAATTTTACTTTCCTGCACTGTAAGATCCTGGCAACATCTGCCCTGAACTTCAGCTGAACTCTTGCTGCCCGTAGTCACACCACTACCTCTTTAGACAAACATATCAAGAGTTTCTGTTTTCCTTCATCCCTTGCTGATGTGAACAGCCAAGAACTACAGACACAACCCACTCATTATCAGCATTTCTGTCTCTGTCAAACAATTAGTTTATAGATAGTCATAATCTTTCTTTCTTCCGGATGGTTTCTCCTTGTATGCTGAACAAAAGAAAAAATGTGAAGACTGAAAGGTGTGATTTTTCAATTCTCCTCCCAGTTACCGAATCACCCTCTTATTTTTTTTTCCCTAAGCTTCCATTCACTCTCTCTCCCTCTCCGTTTCTCTTCATGTGCACTCACAGAGACCCAGCGTTGCATTACCATCGTGGAATAATCTAGCACAAACCTAGGAAAGCTGAAGCCACAAAGTCCGACGCCACCTTTGCACTCACCTGCAGAGCTCCAGAAGACCTTGATGGCAGCCCGCCTATGCCGTGTGTTTGCTGTATTCAATCTTTACGGCTTCCTGACTTCTGTGACAGTACGCCAAGCTGCAAAAATACACTTGATGAGAATTTCCTCTTTTAATAATGTTATTTGAACACCAAATATTTTCGATTTATCTTATTTGAAAGTATTAGTTCTATTGTGCCTGGAAACCACACTCCTTTAGATTGGGGGCCGAGAGGAGACGACCCAACATTGAGGAGAGTTTATTTTTAAACATGGCTAGCTGTCAGTATGTACATGAGCTAGTATTTTTATGAGTAGAGTTTTTTAAAGGCACATTCTGTATACTGCTTAGTATATGCATTTTATACCATGTAATTATATAACACTCAAATAAGTTCAGCATTAGAAATGTTTAGCTTTGTATGAACTAAGTGTGCCAGAAATAAACCTGGAGCAATTTTTAAATAAGCAAAATAAAGGAGATTTTTCTATTTGTTCACTTTATTCACTTTTATGTACTTTTATGTACTGCAAATCAGATTTCAGTCTAAAGCGAAACATCAATAAGTTAATAATAAACCTATCTTTTGGGAAGTTGAATATTAATCTGTACCCAAAACGTATTTAGTAAAATATTTGCTACAACATTATAAAACATAACTTATAATGTTGAATAGATGATTTGGGAAATACTAACAACAACAATGTAACTGTTGCAGACAGCTGTAACTTATATACATTGCTTGATTTTTTTCAAAAGACTAAATATGTCATTTATACTTTGTTCATTTTCTACCAAAGAAGGTTTGGAAAAATATGCCTGCTGCCTTTCCTTTTGAAGGACACAAACCTGGTCCAAACATGTGTGGATTTTAACTCTGAGTGGGGTGCATTAAATCAAAAGAGAGAGGAAGAAGATGAAATGCTAAAGAAGTATCAGGCAAACTTCTGTTTCAGTATAAAATTCATCCTGCAGGCTTCTGAGTGAAACAGAATGATTTGAAACCACTACTGTATTGCCTGGATACACACACACACACACACACACACACTTTATACAAAAATGTTAAAAGCAGGTTTCCTGGCATGTTCTTAACTGTTTTTTCTTTAGGAATAAATTACATTTATCTGCACAGATGTTGAAAATCCTGTTAAACCCTTGTCAAGGATTTGTTTATTTTACATTAAACAAATTTATGATGAACGTGAACAAATAAATTAAAAAATAAAAAAGGTACTTGCATTTTATATTTATTCTTTTACCTGTTGCCCTGACATAATGTGTTGTGAGAAGGTACTGGTGTTCCTAGCAAAGGCGCTACCTCCTCTTTATGAATGAGGCTTAAAATCTGGTCCTTAAACGTGAGAAAGAACCCAACAGTAAACTGTACACACTACAATAAGGTTACAAATTAGTCAAAAGTAAGTTTTTCACACATAAAAACTAATGTGATTATTATACTCCTTTTGAATTGGAGGGGTATGGGACAGAAGGTAGTAATGTTCCCCAATTGGATGCTTAAAGTCTCCTTGGTTTGTTTCTTTTTCTGTTAAAAAAATCAGCTGAACGACACCACTCAGGCTGAAACCCATCTCTATGCGTTGTCTGCTTGTTTGGTTTTTTTAGTTTAGACAATATAAACATCAGCCCCAGAAAGTAGACACGGAATGACAACTTATTTTTATTGCTGTCGTCATTAGAACGTTAACATTAAAGCCAAATCTTGTTTTATGGTGCATTCCGCACACCATGCTAATGAATTATGCAAAGCCAGAAAGCAGGAGCGTGTGTAAAACGTAAAACTGAATGACGTTCTCCCTGGCATATACAGACTTGCCAAGCATCTGCCCTCACAAACACATAGGAGACCATTTGAAGTCTGGAAACGGAGCAACTCAAAGCAAAGCTGATCTAGTACTGATATGTAAGGCAACTGCATAGACTCCTTCCCACCTCGCATATGTACCCCCTCCAAAAAAAAAAAAACCCATAAACATTTGCATATCCTTTTTTTTCTTTTGCCTTCTAGTGAAGCATACATCAGCTCTTTACAACACTCCTAAAATCTAAAAGAAAAGGAAAGTCTCAGAGATCTAAAGTAGAAAGCTGGACCTCCAAGGGAAATAATTTTTTTGTAACTGTAGGTGTGTGTACCTGTTCATTATCTGCAAGGCTTGATTCCCTCTGGAAAAGATGATAAATTGCTGGTCTTGAGGGGGTGCATTAACTCACTCAGGCCACCAGGGGACTGCTTAGAGCCCTGATGAGGTAATCTACCTAAATGGTCCCTGGTGGGCCACACTAATTAATGCTGAAGTGAACAGTTAATTCACTTGCTTCTCACTGGGGAGCTACACCCATTGCTTTCTTTCCTCTTTGGAACCAAGATGCCTTAGATGCCTCCTCTTTTTAACTCTTCCCATCGAGAGACCTGCTGTCTCAATTGCATTAAATCCTTACTGCTTCCATATGCTTTCTCACTTCACTTTTCACTTTTTCCATGTCATCTTCCCCTGCGCTGGCCTTTGCTAGTTTCCCTCTACATGGACATGTACCCTGCATTTTCTCATTACTCTTGGGCTCTTTTTCTCTCTAAAAGATCATGATCCCAAGACGAAAATATGTCCTGATGCATACGTCTGGTTGGGGCGTTGGGAGCAATTGGCCTAACCTCTTTGGGGAGAAACAACTTAAGCACCCTCCACATGCCTAAATACTCAAGTGCATATGTGGCACCAGAAGGATCATAAAATTTTAACTAGATAATAAGATTTTACAGGGTTAAATATGGCTTGAGGTTCATGCCTTCAGTAAATGATTTGGAGCAAAAAAAAAGAAAAAAAAAAAGTACGGTTTTATAGCTACTTTCAGCCTGAGTGGTGGTGTTCAGCTGATTAAAATAGCAAAATGTCTGTATAATTTAACGAATCACTCCTAGCTCATTCATCTTGGGGGTAGCTTGCCATTTTCATGTGATCTGACGGGAGCAAGTTGTCTCAAAGTATAACTATTTTGTGACAAGATGAGAGGAGAAAATCTCAATAGGCACATTCTTGATTAGGGTTAAGGAACAAAGCAAACTTAACTTGAGAGGAAACTAAAAGGCAAACAATAGAAGTTTGCCTGCAACGTCACCATTTATGGGAAGCGTCTATCTGAACCTGTCTGTGTAAAGTCACTCGTGGGTTATGGAAGGGTCATGTGTTTGGATCATTTAATCTTGCTACTCTAAACTAACCTTCCTACATTTAGTAAACATCATCTGAACCTGTTTTATTAAGAACATGCCTGGATTCCAAAGATTAAACAAGGAAGATGGAATTATGAATTAAATAATAACCTGAACAACTTGGGTTCGCCTTCTGTTTTTCACTTTCCTGCTATTGTTTTGAATATGGCTGTGAGACAAAGAGCTGCTTAGGTCAAGCGCTATAAATTACAGTTTTCATACAATAGTAATCCACTAAAATGATTTCAAAGCCTGATCAAAGTACTTCAAAAAGACTTTTAAAACATTTCCACAGTACAGGGGAAGGGAAATGCTCATTTGGTGCCTTAATTTGTTTCAGTTAGTATAGCAAAGTTCGATCTGGATGTCATACTCACTTTATATAAAATCCAACTCATTGTTTAAATAAATCCAACTTGTTCTTGTTGTTTAATGTATAGGTAAAGGAGATTTAAGTTTTCATCTACTTAACAATTTGGAGTCACTTGTAAGGAAAAGATAATATGGGAACATTTTAAAATAAGCATACCTTGATAGTATTTAATTACTCAAGGTATTCGTTAAAACTGTCTAACTCCCTGCAATTAGGATACAGTGGTGAGGATCTCTGTGGATTTATTTGGCATCTTAATAATAATCATGGCAACAGATATATTTATTTTTTCATCCTTTTCCCTCATCACTTGGATTTATCCTAAGCTGTCTCATTTTATAGGCAAGGATAATGGGAAGTACACTAGTGATAGCGAAGCTAAGCAAATTCTAGGCTCAACTATATATAAAGATAGTGTGGACTGCTGCAACAACGTCAGGCTCAACTAAAGACTCATGGTACTATGTCAGGGCAATTTTTACTTTTTAAAAGGAAGGTCATATTGAAATGCTGACGTGAAATATAACCAAGTCAATTAAGTAATAACAATTGAAGTTCAGAGTTTAATTGAGGGCTGAACATGAATCCAATGACCATTAACCTGAAGTGGTCATTAATTCCCCTGGAAACTGCCTTGGTTAAAGGTATTTCTACAATAACTAGCACTTTTTTTTCAAAAAAAAAAAAAAAACTTGTCATTTTAACATTAAACAGAAATTCAGAAATAACATTCAGGAATAATAATTCAGTGGATCTATAGTAGACCTTCTGTATTTTACATTTTTAATTGAATTTCTTTTATAGGACAAATCAAAATTTAGATAAAAAGGTAAAACCACTTCTCTGGAGGAAACTATAGTTTTGTTAAGTAAACAAAGTTATAAGCACCCTTTATTTGATTGCTTTTGTTTTATCTCAGTTGTTGACTTATTTCTGTACTTGTTTGATGCAAGATTTCCAACTAGACTATAAGCTCCATGAAAGTAAAAACTACACTTACTTTGTTCACTGTAGTCCCTAATGCCTAACAGAGTTCTGGTGCAGACAGAGCAGGTATTCAATAAATGTTAAATGAGTAAATGAATGACAGAGTTTTATTAAATATGTTATCACTCACTTGCATTAGCAAATAATTGGAACCTTTAACGTTCTCATTTTCTTCATCTGAAAAATGAGTGTATTTACCACAATCAGAGAAAATCATGTGTCGATGTTAAAGAATTAATTAATTTAGAAACTCCCCAAAATGTGAAATGAATCAAATTCATCAAAAAGAGTGTTTTAGGATGCACACTTAGTTTTAAGGGGGGAATATATGTAACTTTTTGTTGCATTTGCCTTAAAGTTAATCTTAATACATTATTGTTTATGCACTATGTTGCTAAATGAGAATATTAAAAATCTTTATTTCTCTTTAAAAAGAAATGGCTTATCTTTATATTTCCATTAAAAAAAATTTTTTTTCTTCAAATCACTGCAGAGTCCCAGATCAACTGTGTTTCACACACAGATTTTGGAATATTCAATGGAGTTATTAGATTAACTGCAAATGATACTTTTAATTGCTCCCTTTTATAATGCTAAGTTGATGGCAAAGTGCTTCCTGGCCATAGAAGTGGTTGGCCGGCTCAAGAGAGAAGGGTTATTTGGTCATTTGCCAATAGGATCTGACCTTTGGAGAGATACTGCCCATGAACCGCTCAGTGGGTGTTTCCTTGTTAGTCATTAATTCAGAGTATATTATTATTTGAAAGCCAAAGGCATTTGGCATATTTCCTCATAATTTGGAAACCTGTAGCACAAAAGAACTGGAACTTCCACATTTTTTCTTATTCTGCCAGTTTCCCAGGACTTAATTTGTTGGGGCTCTTTACTATGTGATTCCTTCCATGAGCTGCTGGAGAGAACAGACCCAGAGTGCAGATACCACTAAGACCAGGTCTTTGGTTCCAGGTGATAATTCTGTCTTCTATTTCCAGCATTAAAACTATTTAAGACACAGATATTTACTGAGTCCCTGATGTGTATTAGAAGTATGTGAGGTGCTGTGGGGAATTTTTTTAATGCAACAAAAGACTCTTTTATTGAAGAAAAATAAATCATTACTTCCTCAAAATGAAAACAACACAAAATATTTGGAAATTTTAGAAAAGCAAATCACATTAAGGAAAGAGGGAAAGCTATGAGGTCTTTAATAAGATATTTTAACCCTAGACTATGGACGGCAAGTAGCTTTCTATTTGCTTATGGTGGCTGCGTTCACTGCTATTAAGCATTTCCAAGGCCAAGTTCAGCTCAGCAGCTAAGGCTTTGATCTAGTGTTTAGAGTAGGCAGTGATCACATGGATGCCACATATTTTCCATTCCTGCTCTGGGCCATTCATGTTCAGTGCAAGTATAAATACATTCTAAGCATTTGAAACAGAATTCATACCTGTTCATCGGCCTAAGTAATAAAACAAGCAATAACTTGTTCTGATAGTTCTATAACATCAAGCAAAGTGTCTGTCCATGGCTAAGGTCTGTCTAGTAATACAGATAAGCTAAATATGTCATCAGAATCATAGAAATATGATTTTAAGCCTCAAGATAAACACTAGATGGGCACAGATAATTATCATTTTCAGTAAATGT